AGGGTCTTCTGACTCTTGGGTGCTGCAGAGGATGGAGCCCACCCCAGACAGCAGGAATCTGGGGCTGCCCGGGCTGGGTCCCAGCTCCTCACACAGGGTGTGTGGGCCAGCAGTTGCCAGCCACAGGCACGTAACCATAGAGGAGGAGGGTGTTATGGGGCAGAGGCTGGGGTGAGAGCCAGGTTTGGGGCAGGAGGAGGGAGTCACAAGCCACTGTACAACATGGAGATTGAAGTGGGGCCCTGAATCCCTCCTCCCTGCGTGCTGCTGTGGCTGTGGGACAGGGGGCTGGGCATGAGGGTGGAGGCATGGCCGGTCTGGTGATGCCAGCCCATCTGCTCCACTGGGACAGCCCATGCCATCCCATGTCCCCATCCCTGGTGTGGTGGCCAGGGAGGGTTGCACAGTGTGCAGGTCCAAAAGTGGCACCGCCTGCTCCTGGAGCAGTGCAGGGGTGACACCCTGTGGCCACCTCTGTGGTGGAGTGAGGACACACGCTGCTTATGGCTCCTTGCACCCCTCACCAAGTCCCCTCGACCCCCAGGCTGCCTGAAGGTCTCCTCAGGGGCCCTGGTCCCTCTAGGGACCCTGGCTTGGGGTTGGGGATCACTTCTGAGTGGTCCAAACTCCTCATACCAGCTCTCTGCCCCAAATTCCCTCAGCTTCTCCCCCTCATCATCCTTCTCGTGTCTGGGTGGGTGCTGCTAAACAGGGACACTTGTCCTTGCGCTGCATGGTCACTCCTGGTCTGGCCTGGGAGGAGAAAGAGAGTTGGGGCCACCAGGGTGGCGGTGCCTCCAGGAGCTGTGGCTGTTGCTGTCACCATCACACGCTGCCCAGAGAACCCTCTTCTGCTGCTGGTGGTCCCTGGCTGGTCCTGTGGCAGTGATGGGATGGGGCCCTGACATCTTGCACCAGCGATGGCCGGGTGCTCATGGTGACACTGCCTCAGCCCAGTGGGTCACCCCTGTCAACCCCCACCCCTTGTCAGCATATGTCCCCAAGGGTTGACTTTCTCTGGTGTGGGTCTCACTGCTGTCACCTCCTCTCTGGGACGCACCAGACCGGGTGGCCAAGGCCAGGGGAGCCCCCGGGGGCAGGCAGAGGTCCCCGGGCTTGGAGGAGGGTGCTGTCCCGCACCCCTGGGGTACAAACCCAAATACCCATCTTTCCCTGAAGCAGAAGTTTTTTTGGGGGAGGTGGGGTGTGTGGCAGCCGTCTGCAATGACCACGCTTCCCAGCAGAGGGAGCAACCTCCCCGCAGAGCGGGGACACTGCTACCACCACCCCCCAACACGGGACAGCAGGGACACCCTGAGGGACAGCACGGGGCGCTCCAGGCTCCTTGAGGACCACCAAGATGAAGGGTGGCCGATGCTGTGACCACTGCAAAACCCAACACATGAGTTGGAATTGCTTCCCCGCCTCCCCCCACCCCTTCCCCTCCCCGCCCAGTGATGCTACCCCCAGCCCCAGGCTGGGTGGTTGGTTCACCATCCTTGGGTGAGTTTAAGAGTCGTTTAGATGTGGCGTTGGGGGATATGGTGTAGGGAAGAACTTTCTAGAGTAAGGTAGATGGTTGGACTCGATGATCCCAGGGGTGTTTTCCAACCTACATGATTCTATGGTTCTATGACACTGGGCTGGAGCTCTGGGTCTGGGACATTCCTCGCCTTGAGAAGCAGCCCCACAGGGATCACAGCACCCACTGTGTGGCACCTGGCACGAGGTGATGGACCTGGGATGGCAGACCCATGGGCTGCCTGGGCACTGTCCCTACAGCATGAATTCACCACCCCTAGGATTTCCATTTTTTTGGGGGGTGTCGGGGTGGGATGGGTTGGACAGCAAGTTCCTGCCCCAGCCTTAAATCCTGTGAGGTTTAAGGAGCATCCCCATCCTTTGGTGTGAGGCCCCATGGACTTTCAGTGGGGAGGTTTGCACCAGCGTTTGGTAACAAGTTTGCACGAGCATTCAGAGGAGATTTGCACCAGCGTTCGGGGTGGTGAGGAGGTTTGCACCACCATTCAGGAGGGCAGCCTGCAGGCCGTGGAGGCTTTCTGGGGACAGGGTGGCCTTCCCTCTGAGGTCACCAGTCTGGGAGGAGCAGGTGGCAGCTAAGAGATGCCACAGCACCGCTTTGCCCGTTCCTCCCACCATGTCCTCCTGCTCCGTGCCTAGACCTCCAGGCTTGCTCGTGCAGAGGCACAGCTGGCTGGGTCACTCTCTGCCCGCCTCGGTGGCCGCTGGCTGGGGACCTGCAGCTGCGGTGGCAGAGCATGTGTGCCGGGCAGCTGGCACTGTAGCAGTGACAGCACAGCCCTGCGGGACACAGGCCAGCCCGGCCACCTGCGGCCCTCGTTAGCCAGCTCCCCGGGGGCACTAGCCGGCTGTGTGCCCTGGCAGGGGTGCCAGGCTGCTGCACTGAGGATGGGGCTGGGAAAGCCACCTGCACCTTGTCCCTAGGGGAAGGGCAGGATGGCTGGATCAGGACCCCAGGGGGCTTCTGCCCTCCCAGCTTGGATGCTGCAGGGTGCTCGGGGTTTGGGATCTGAGCTGGCAGTGGGTGCTTCACCCCCAGGGTCCCCAGGACCTGTGCTCTGCCCCAGATGGCTCTCCACCTTTGGTAGCTGGAGCAATAACCCAGCAATTAACTGCGTCTCCTGGGGTGAGGACTTCCCTGGTGCTTCCCTCCACAGGCAGAGCCCAGGCTATTACCCACCCCTGGCATTGTGGGCACACAAACCACTGCCTGCTCCTCCTTCCTCTGGGTGCCCATTCTCTTCCTTGAGGCAGCCAATTCCTCTCCCCAGGCTGGATTTTCTCCGGGCGGGGGGGTGCAGCTGTACACCACTGCTGTGGTCTGGACGCAATGGCAGACCCTCTGATTTGGGATCCACAGCCCTGGGAAAGGGACTGCAATATCCAAGTTCAGCTTTAAGCAACAGGCTCTGTGTTCCTGTAGACCCTACAGATGCTGCCAGGGCAGCGTTCCCCCTCCTAATCCTCCCCTGGATCTGCTTCTCACGCCCTGTTTCCCTCCCAGTTCCACCACAGACACTATTTAAGGAAATCCCCCCCTTCTGGCAGGTGAGCCACCTTTGCTGGCAGCCTGGCTTTCAGAAACTACATGCCACCAGCAGCACCAGAGCTTCCCCTGGATGCTCCCTGGATGCAGCTAGCACCGGAGAAGCCTCCAGCCACAGGGACCACCTTCAGACGCCTTCTCCCAAGAACCCTTGGTGTCTCCACAGGGTTATTTCGGGTTTCCCAGCACTGCTGCAAACAGCCTGTTCCCAGCATCCAGCCATCCCTCGTGCCCAGTGCTCCATTCACAGCTTTCAGTGCCTCCACAGGCAAGGAGCACCCTCATCACAGTGGATGGGCATCCCTCCCACTGCAGGGGATGAGGTGCTTGTGGGGCCAGCTGGGCACTCCCCCCACTGTCTGCTCTCCTGGTGAGACGTGGGGTCTCCGAGGGTGAGACATAAGACCCCAAGTTTGCAGGATCCTGGATGCACCTCGTGGCTTCCCCCCATCGCTGCTGTGGGACACTTTAGAGAGATGAGGCCAAGCCTGCCTGGTGGGACAGTGACCGGAGGCTGGGTCCCCTGGAATCCTTGGGGGTAAGCCAGAAGCCCCGTAAGCGCGCTGGCAGGCGGCTAGTTGGACACAGCTGTTTAATGGACACTTCTCAGTACAGAGCGGGAGTTGCGACCCATGCACCCACAAGCCCCCTCCCCGCCGTGGCTATGCCTCTTGGCCCCATATCGGACCTGGCATCCGAAATATCCCCATTGGCCAAGCGCACCAGGGCGGTAGAGGAAGATGTCACGGCATGGGTACGCCTCCCGGCCTCGCAGCGGGGAGGGGGTCCCTGGAGAAGGGACCTGTGCCTTGGCTGGGGCAAGGGAAGCTGAGCGGGACGGTGCCCCCATCACAGTGGGGGCAGGAGGTGAGGGAACGGCCGGGCTGCCAAGGGGAACCCCCAGTCTGTGGAAGCCCTGGGACATCCCAGCTGAGCCAGGGCATGCCAAGCAGGGAGAGGCTGATGGCAGCGCAGGGAAGGGGTCGGAGGGGCAGGGGGCAGCTGGTGGGGCTGCTGTGGACCTGGGCATCCCCTCCCATCTGGCATGCGTGGGGTGAGGTCTCCAGGGGTCTCTGCTCCTTCACCGGTGGGCTGAGTGCATCCATCCACCTTAGGGCATCAACCTTGCCCAGGGAGTGCCTCACCCTTCAGCTGATGTCCCAGGGGGGCTCTGGGCTCTGCCTCCTCCTCCTCACCTGGAGCAGTAATGCCTCAGACAAGGTGAGGATGCCTACTCACCGTGCTGGGGAGGGAACGGGGCTGGCATGGAACTGGAATTCTGAGTGGGAGGAGAGCATCCCGTGGGACCAAGGGAACACGAGAGGACAAGGGATGCAGGGGAGCCCTCCTGCACATCCGAGCTTACCCTCCCACCCCTTTGGTGCTTTCTGTTCTCAGTGCTCCTTTCCACAGCATTGCTGTTGGTGAGATTCAGTCCCCAGCAGGGAAAGGTTGAGCTGTGCTGGGGGAAACACTCTCCCAGACACAGCCACAAGCTGTGAGTGTAAGGATGGACCTACATCTCTCTGGCCCCTGTTGGAGCCAGGCAGGGATGTGGAAGAGGCTGAGTGGGGGCCAGCTATGTCCTACCCACAAGGATTCACCATGCCGAGGAGCTGAGCCACCACTTGCTGCAGACCCTGCTGGGTGCTACTGCCAGGGTGCACAGAGGCTCAGCGGGATGCTGGGGGTGACTGGGATGCTGGGGGTGGCTGGGATGTGGCGAGTGGCTGGGATGCTGGGGGTGGTTGGGATGCTGGGGGGTGATTGGGACACTGGGAGTGTTTGGGATGCTCTGGGTAGTTGGGATGTGGCAAGTGTTGAGTGGCTGGGATGCTGGGGGTGGTTGGGATGCTGGGGGGTGATTGGGACACTGGGAGTGTTTGGGATGCTGGGGGTGGCTGGGATGCTGGGGTGTGATTGGGACACTGGGAGTGTTTGGGATGCTGGGGATGGTTGGGATGTGGCAAGTGGCTGGGAGGCAGGGGGTGGCTGGGATGCTGGGGGTGGTTGGGATGCTGGGGGGGGTTGGATGCCGGGGGTGGTCGGGATGCTGGGGGTGGTTCAGATGTGGTGAGTGTTTGAGATTCTGGGGGTGGTCAGGATGCTAGGGCTGGTTGGGATGTTGGGGGGGCCATGGCTGCCCCCATTGCCTGCCCTGGGCTCCTCTCTCACACCATAACAACCACCCAGACCCAGCTCCAGGACCAGAGCAAGCCCCGCTTCTCCTTGGGGGCAAGCCTTGCTCTGTCTGGGGGTTGCCAGGGAAGGGTCCCCGCTGGGTCTGGGTGCCGTGGGGCTGGGGGACGGTCAGGGCAACTGGTTCCAGGCCTCCCATGCCCCATGGCATCCCCGATCGGTGTGGGGGTCCCAGCAGGGGGGTGGAGGCCTCGCTGCTCAAGATGGCAGTGCCGGGGGCTAGGCAGGGGGCTGCAGGTGGAGGGCCGCGCTGTTGGGGCGGGCGGCCAGGATGTAGGCGACGTTCTCACGCAGGAAGCCAGGCCAGTCGACGGGCCTGGAGGGCAAACATGGGCTCACTGGCTGCCCTGACACCACTGCATCTCCTCCAAGGTGAGGGGCTGCTCTCCTCCCCAAACCACCCCCCGCCTCACCTGGCCTCCTCCTGCTCTGTGGATGGCAGGGTCTTCTCCTGGCTCTTGCTGCTGCTGCTGCTGGCGGGGCTGCTCTCCGACATGGGCCCTACGTGGCTGATGCTGTGGGGTGGAGGAGGAGGAGGGTTCCCTTCATCGAGCTCCTCCTTGCACCCCAAATGGCAGTGGTGGGGGCCAGGGCATGGCTATGGGGCCATGGGGAGGGAGGTGGTGGGGAGGGAGGTCACCCGTTGGCATGCTAAGCCCTTTCAGTGTGTGCTGGGGTGGTGGTGGGAGCCCCAGCAGGGATGTCACCCCTCCCCTTCCCCAAGGCTGCTGTCCCTGTACCTGACATTGCAAGATGGTGTCTCCTTTTGATGCTTGCGGAACCAGCCGTGCTGGGCCCGGCGGCACTCTCCCTCCCCGATGAAGCCATCACTGTCCTGGTCCAGGGCCAGGAAGGCTGCCCGTGCCCGCTCCCGCTCCTTGGCCGTCAGCAGCCGCAGCAGGGCGTTCTGGGGGCAGAGAGGGGAAGGAGAAGCCCTTGGCCCATGGGAGCACCACTGCTCTGTGCCCAACGCCATGGGGCTCTGGGTGCCACAGACATGGGTGCTGGCCATGGGAGGCAGCCCAGGGTGCTCTGGCCATGGATGCCAGTGCTGGCCATGGGAGCCATCCCTGCATGCCACAGCCATAAGTGCCAGCTACAGGAGCCAGCCCTGGCTGCTGTGGCTATAGGTGCTGGTCATGGAAGCTGGCCTTGGTTGCCATGGTCATGGGTGCTGGTCATGGCTGCCAGCCCAGGTTGCCATAGCCATGAGTGCTGGCCATAGGAGCCAGCCCTGGGTGCTGTGGCCATGGCTGCAGGTCATGCTATGGCCACGGCCATGGGTGCTGGCCATGGATACCAGCCCCAGGTGCCATGGCTGTGGGTACTGGCCATGGAAGCTGGCCCTGGGTGCTACAGTCATGGGTGCCAGCCACAGGAGCCAGCCCTAAGGGCTGTGGCTGTGAGTGCTGGTCATGGGAGATGGCCTTGTGTGCCATGGCCATGAGTGTTGGCCATGGGAGCCAGCCATAGGTGCCATGGCCATGGGTCCCAGCCTTGGGAGCTGGCCCTAGGTGCTGTGGCCATGGGTGCTGGCCATGGGAGCCAGCCCCAGGTGCTGCAGCTGTACCTGTGGCCGTAGTTTCTGCAGCAGCTGGATGGACTCGTGGGACAGGAAGTCCTGCCACTCAATGTGCCCCTTCTTGTCGGGGTCCAGGGCGGAGAACTGCAGGGTTGCCTGCTCCTCCTGTGCCTCGGCCATGGGCTGCTCGAACTGCTGCTTGTGCACCAGGTGCTTGTAGTGCAGGAAGTCATCCAGGGTCAGGCAGGTCTCTGCAGGGACAGATCGGCTGTGTGACACCTGGGGAGAGTGGACTCACCTCCCCAACCACCTCCCTCAACTGTCCGGGGACCCGCCGCGGGGAGGGATCATTCCGCACCTGGAATAATCTTGCAGTTCCGCAGGTTCTCCATCAGGCTGTACATCTCTTCCTCCGTCAGCAGGAGATTGAGGTTGTCCTGGGGAGGAGGGCAGAGAGGAACCGTGGGGCAAAGGCAGGGGACAGTGTGAGCACCCGGCTGTGCTGTGGCACCAGGATCCCTTGGGTGTGGGCACACAGAGAGGGTCGGTGCGGTGTGTCACCCAGGCGTGCTGCAGGGCGGGGGGGTGTACACCCCTGAACTCTGGAAGCCATTTCAGCTCCACCATGGCTCCTCATGTGCCCAGTGACACATCCCCTGGTGTCACATCCCCCGCCAAGGTGCTGGGGGGCTTCTGGAGTGGGAAGGTGGCAAAGGGCCTCTGTCCCCTCCCCTCTGGTGGCTCCCCATCAGGCCAAGGTGAGTGGCAGGAGCTGGGGTTGGAAGGGACCTCTGGAGATCATCTAGTCCAACCCCCCTGCCAAAGCAGGTCCACCTAGAGCAGGTTGCACAGGAACGTGTCCAGGTGGGTTTTGAATGTCTCCAGAGAAAGAGTCCACCACCTCCCTGGGCAGCCTGTTCCAGGGCTCTGCCACCCTTAAAGTGAAGAAGTTCCTCCTCATGTTTAGGCGGAACTTCTTATACTCAAGTTTGTGCCCATTTCCTCTTGGCCTGTCACTGGGCACCACTGAAAAAAGACCAGCCCCATCCTCCTGACAGCCCCCCTCAAGTATTTGTAAGCATTGATTGGATCCCCCCTAAGTCTTCCCTTCTCCAGACTAAAAAAACTCAAGTCCATCAGCCTCTCCTCATAAGGGAGGTGCTCCAGGCCCTTAATCACCTTTGTGGCCCTCTACTGTACCCTCTCCATTGCCCCAGACCAGGTTGCAACATCGGACCCTGCTCATGTACATGTGGGGCATGACTCCCTGCCTGGGGACCACCACTGCCTGGCAGAAGCCTGGTGTCCCCGATACTCACACAGTAGTAGCAGCTCCATCCCGTCTCGGTGTGGGCCGTCTCGGTCACCTCCACGGCGCTGTCACTCTGCAGGTAGCCCATGCGGCGCAGGCAGCCGTCGTGGTACACCCGGCTGCAGACGCGGCAGGGGAAGAGGCTCTCGGCTGTCCACACCTCACAGATCTCACACATCTCGTCGTTGAGGACCTGGGGAGAGATGGGCAGCTGCTCAGAGGGGTAGCGTGGGCAGGGGGCTGGCTTCTCCAGGAGGGAGTCAAGGTGGTGCTTCGCAGGTTGGTGGGGCAGAGGGGACGGGAGGGTAGGGTTATTTGGGGCTTGCGTAGGGAATAGGTGAGTGGTGGGACCATAGAACGGGCATGGCGGGTGGGGTGAGAGGGTGTACGGGTTTGTGGGGATGAGTGGAGGGTGTATGGGTCCAGCTGTAGGGCTGGTGGGGCTGTGGGGCTACAGATTCCCTGGGGTGCAGGGTGGTGGGTGTGGGTGGCCGGGCTGTGGGGTTGCAGGTTGGCTGGTCTTTGGGGGTGTAGTGTGGGCGGGTGGAAGTGCTGGTCTGTGGGCTGGCTGGCTGTAGGTGTGGACGGATGAGCTGTAAGGCTGTAGGTGGGCTGGGGTGTGGGTTGTCAGGGTGGGTGGATGGATGGGTAGAGTAAAGGGTGAGGGGGAGTGGGGCTGTGGGATTGGCATGGGCAGACGAGCTGTTGGGTTGTAGGTGGGCCGGGCTGTAAGGGTCGCAGGTGTGGACAGACGGGTTGAGCTGTAGGCTGTCTGACTGTAGGCTGGCAAACACGTAGAGCGGGTGATCCTTCTCCCTTCCCCAAAGCTGGAGCTGCCTGTGCCCAGCGGCGACCACTTCTCTCCAAGAAGCCCTGGAGACCCTCCAGGGCACATCTGATCAGTCACACCCTCCTCCCCATGTGGCACCTCCAGCTCCTCAGCCTCCCCCCCCCAGCCCCCTGCCCCACTGAGCCACCTCCATGGGGCTGTGCCGTGCCCGGGGAAGCTGTCATCACTGCCCGGTGGGCACTAGCAGTGCTTGCACATCCCCTGGTCTCTCCCGGGCACATCCCCAGCCCTGTCCCCATCCCTCCCTCCCTGTCCCCATGCTCCGGCCGCTTGCCTGCTCCCGCTGCTCCAGGCTGATGTCTGGGGGCTCGTCATCGTGCAGCTCACGCTTGGGACGGATGAAGGCGGGTGGTGTGAACCTGTTGGCTCGGTCAAACTCCTCCGGCTCCACTCCCCGGCCGTCCCGCAGCCGTTCCCAGGCTGCCTTGCCGGCGCTGGTCTCCTCCGGTTGGGAAGGTCCCGCCAACGCCTCCTCCTCCCCCTCCTGCACCGCCTGCTCCAGCGTCCCCCGGCGTGTGCCCCCCGCCTCTGCCCGCCGCCGCGTCGATGGCTGCTCCCGCAGCCCGTCCTTGAAGGCCGACACAGCCAAGCTGACCTTCTGCACCTTCTCCACCGTCTGACGCCTGGACATTAGCACCCCCATGGCTCTGCAGAGGGCAGGGAGGTCTCAGCGCTAAGTCCTCAGGGTGCAACGCTGCTCCTCGCCTCTGTTACCCTGTCCCTGGCCCCAAAAAGGTGTGCTAGTGGCTGTCCCCCATTTGTAGCTTGGGGCAGGGAGAAATTGGAGCTCCTTGGCAAGTGGGCACTGGCATCCATGATGGCCTGGGGAGGTGGACCTGAAGCCACATGGAGATCTGGCCATGGAGGGTCTGAGCGTTGGTAGAGGAATGGGACAGCAAGCAGGGAATGGGTTTGGGGGCATCTTTCCTCCCCCATCCTTGGTCTGTAGGCTCTGTCTTAACAAGCAACACATCCAAGCCCTTCCCACACCAGACCAGTAAATGCCAGCAAGATTGGAACCAGTTTACCCCTTGTGTGCACCCCATCCTGCCTTGCAGAAAGCCTCTTTGGCCAGCCAAGGGTGAGAGGTATCCTCCCAGCAGCTCTGCCCAGGGCTGGGGCAGAGCAGAGCTGGGACCTTCCCTAAATTTTGGCTCACCCCCTGCAAGTCTCTCCTGAGCTCACACTCACACGCTCCTGTGTATGTTGTGTGTGATGCTGCCCTGATCTCTGGGCAGCCTGCATCCCACAAGGAGCTGCGTGGGGGGGGGCAGCCATGGGGGGGCTGCGAGGGTGTAGGAGGGAAGGGGAGCAGTGCATGGGTCTGGGACGCACGCGTCCCAAGAAGAGGGCTTGGGTGCAGGAAGGAGGGAAGACCATCTGTGGGTAGAACAGGGCAGGCAAGGGCAGCAGCAACAGCAGCTTGGGCCGTGTCTCCGTGGGGGTGGGCTGAAGCTGGGGGGAAGCAGGATGTGGGGCAGGCTCCCCGTGCCCAGCTGGGGTTGCGATATGGAAGATGCTGCAGCCCTGAGGAGCTCCCAGCTGGTTGCCCAGCAGACAGCCCCATCGCTGCCTGTGCCGGCGGGGGGACATCGGAGCAGCCATCCCCCCCGCTCCCCCCCCTCCCGGGCCAGCCTCAAGCAGAGAAATCCCCAGGCCAGGGGATAATTAGCCACACGTGTGCAGGCGCTGCGGGGGGGACACGGCGCTGGGGGCACTGCCATGGCGGGGAGCCTGGGCAGGGTAATTACAGCTGCCCTACATCCACGGCGCTGAGCAGAGCATCCTGGTGGCCACCAGCCCACTGCCCCCCTCCCTCGTCCCCACACCCAGCCCCACAGACTGGCCCTGTGGCCCCACAATTCGCGTGGGGCAAACCCAAAGGGCAGCTGCGTGCCGGCACACGCATGTGATTTCCCAGCCTCCTTCCTTCCTCCCCCCTCCCTGCCACACACACACACACACACCATCTGCGTGCACGTTCCCACACGCGGTGCCGGGTGTGCGACACACGTGGGCCCAGTCCCGAGCAACCGGGGGGTTCGGGCAGCGGGCAAGCAGGGATGGGGCTTTGCAAAGGTGGGAGTGGGGGAAGAGCTGGAGGTACGTGTCCGAGCCACAGCAACAGCATCCCTGCGGCTGTGTGGGGTGTCTCTGCCTCCTGGGGGGGTCTCTGCCTCCTGGGGGGTCTCTGCCTCCTTGCCATGCCCTCACCCCCTGCCCGAGAGGCTCACGGTCCCATCGGCCATGGGCAGGACCACTTCTGCTGCAGGTCGGCATTGTGGCTCTGCCTTCGAGCCAGGGTGGGGGGGCACCACAGGGAGATTCCCCTCCCCATTGCAGGTCCCTGCATCACTGACCATGGACCAGATCCTGGTCTTATCCTGCCCAGGGCTTGGGTAGAAGCAGGGAGAGGGTGCAGAGGGGCTGGGCTCATGGAGAAGAGCCAAAAGAGGCTTGGTGCACCAATCTCCCCAGAAACCACACAGGTGTTCCTGACGTCCAGAGTGTGGGCAGCATCTCCCCACACCACCATGGAACCCATCTCCAGCCACCCTGCAGCATGGCAGGGCAGCCCGGGCAGTGGTGGGGTCGGTGGTGTAAGGGCCTGCTGTAATCCCCCCCCAAAATGAGGTTCCCTTGCGACTTCACGGCATGGTTGCATCCCTGCCCTGCACCACTGCTGGAGGATTCCAGCCCATCTCCCTTTTCTGTCCTCTCCCAAGGCCACTCTGAGTGTCTCCTGCCAAAGTCGGTGCCACCGGCTGCTGCGTGCCTGGAGTCTGGAGGGCACCACTCCTGTCATGGCTTGTGTCTGTTCTCAGCCCCACTGCCCTCCCTGTTCCTGTTAGTGCTTCACAGTCAGACCCTGGCTGCACATCCAGGGGCTGAATGGCTTCACCCCAAGTTCCATCTCCAGACTTCACTGCCTTTCCACAGGCCCCAATCCTCCCCAGATACCCTAAGCCTGCTTCGCACTCTCCAGGACCCTCTATCCCCCATACCCTGCCTGACCCATTGGCTGTGCATGGTGGGACACCACTCCCACACAGCCTGATTCAGATCAGGGTCCTGCCAGGCTTGGGGGGACCCCTGGATGTGGGGAGCAGGGACCAGAGTCACCCTCACCCCACAGCAGCCCACCTACCTGGGCAGCCCTCACATCCCCATGTGTCCCCAGGATTTATTTATGGACCCCCCCGTGGTGCCCGGTGGTCAGGACCCAGTACCACTGCCTGGATCACTTTGGCCTGAGATGCCAGCACCTTGGCCTTGCTGCCCAATGCCAACACGGGGGCTATTTTTAGGTGGCCCCCACGGAGGAGCTAAATCTGGGCACGGGCTGAGCTGCCTGCAAATGCCCGTCTCTGCTGAGCCCTGCCAGCACCGTGAGCTTTCGCAGCAAGTGGTGGCCACCTTCCCACCCCCTTCCCTTGCCCCAAACCCCTGCACCCCTGCCCTGTTCCCTGGGCAGCAGCCATTCCCCATGCTCTTCTGATGAGGAAATGCTCCTTGCTACTTCATCTCTACAGCAAAATGCCGAGGCAGAAAGCTCTTCACCTGCCTGCCACCCGTGGATTAATCTTTTCACAGAGCTCTCTGCATGGGGAAACTGAGGCACAGAGGCAGGGCTGGTGGAGCTGGAGTGGGGATCGGCTCGTCTTGGAGGGGAAATGGGGGCACTGGTGGGACGGAGCTGGTGGCCAGCGTGGAGGCACCCCAGGAGAAGGCAGTGGGGCAGAGCATCCTGATACAAACAGAGCTGCTGGTGCCTGCGTGGCTCCACAATCTCCTCTCTCCCATGGAGAGAGGTTTCAGGGCGCCAGGTTTGGCTGTGAGGGTGGCAGTGGTGGGCACGGGGTGGTGGGTGATGCAGAGGTGGGTGTATGGCAGCACGGCGGGGATGTTACGGTGGCTGGGAGGGCAGGATGGATGCGGCGGGGAGCGTTGTGGGGTGGTTGTGGTTCATGGGGTGGATGTGTTAGGGATGGATGTGTATGGGAAGGATATGTTTGGGGTGTTCATGCTGTGGGGTGGATGCATTAGGGATGGGTGTGTATGGGGTGAATGTGTTTGGGGTGGATGTGTTATGGGGTGGATATGTTTGGGGTGTTTGTTTTATGGGGTGGTTATGTTCGGGGTGTTCATGTTATGGGGTGGATGTGTTCAGGTTGGATATATTGTGGGTGGACGTGTTTGGGGTGGATATGTTGTGGGGCGGATGCGTTATGGGGTGGGTGTGCTACGGCACGGCTGGCAGTGCAGGGCAGGTGTTACGGCCCAGAAGGGGGGTGTACGGGCTGGGGGTGTCGCAAGGGCTGTGGGCACGGTGTAGGTGGTGGCTTTGGATGCAGGGATGTCAGAGTGGGCGTGGGGTGGTGTCTGTGGTGGCTGGGGGTGCAGGATGGGTGTGTTTTGGGGGCCATGGATGCAGGGCGGGCTGTTGCAGCGGCCAGTGGTGCCATGGGGAGCTGAGGGTGAGGAGCCATAGGGCTGGCCATTGCCTCCCTGCTTGCTCACCCATGCTCATCTGCCACATGAGATGCCTCCTCGGTGTAAAGCCCCACCAGCAAACCAAGGGCCAGAAGATGCTTGGGCTGGTGCGTACCAAGAGCAGGGTCCATGGCTGCATCCTTTGAGGGGATGCAGCGGGGGTGCACCAGGGGCAGGACCCCCTCCCAGGCTCCCCACTGGCAGGGAAGGATGCTGCTGGTCCCCATGGGCTCCCCACAGGCCAGGCCTCCTCCCTGTCCTCACCAGGCTTCTGATGTTTTTACCCCTCAATGCTGTGCCTTCCTGGGAGCAACATTAGGGACCTGGGGGCAGAGGCATGGGGTACTGATGGGGAGGACATCCCGGGTCCCAGGGCTTGGTCTGAAGGGCATCAAGCAGGGCTGGGAGGAGCTGCCATGGCTCCAGCACAGCCCTGCACACCCTGCCTGCTGCTGCATGCCTGGGGCGAGGGGGGCCAGGCAGCGCAGGCGGCAGGTTTTGCTTGGGGGACTCCCCATCCCACCTCCTTGAGCTCAGTGGGGATGCTCAGAGGGGTCCAGCAGCGCCCCTTTGTCCCCCTTCTCCCTGACAGAGGGCACGTGCTGGCACTGTGGCACTGCTGGGGCTGCTGCTGTGAGGTGACCCGGTTGCCACGGGGTGGGGGGGGTCCGTGGCTGATGGCATCCTCCCCACCCTCTGCAGGGCTGCAGGGGCTTGGCAGGGAGGTCTAGGGTGGTGGCCAGAGCTCCAGCTGTGCTGTGTCCCCCTCCTGGGGCCACTGATCCGGTGGGTGCCCTCCCTGCTGGATCAGGCTGCCCATCCTGCCGCGCCATGGCAGATTTTATAGGTGTGTCGCACGTTTCCATCTCCCAGAGGGGGATGAAAATGCCATGACAGCAGAGTCCCTTTCCCTGCAGCAGGCACGGCTCCCACCCAGCTCCCCACTTCTCCTCCTCGTCTCCCTCCCCAGCCCCTCTCCCCCGCACCCCCAATAGGACCCCAACACCTGGGCACGACCCTCCCACCCCATCTGCATCCCTGCTCCCAGGCATCCCATCCCAGGAGCCCCCCTCACCCCTCCCTGGCACCGGGACCCCGGGGGGCAGTGGGGGAGACCCGGGGGGACCCACCCATGGGTGTCAGGACGGTGCGGCCAGCCCACGCTGTGCAGGGGACGAAGCGCCAACGGCGGCAAAAAAAAAG